GTATCTGGGAGGAGCACGGCATCAGGATCCCAGAACCCTCTAAACCAAAACAGAAAGCAGAAGGCATAAAGCCTTGTGTAACAGGGGTTGTACGTCAGAGCTCAGATAGCACAGGACCTGGCAGCCGCCACACACAGGATCTGCTCTGCAGCTTGTTTCAGCTCTGCACTCATCCTGATGGGCAACCTGTAAGTATCCTCCAGCGGTGTCCCCCACCCCTGCAATGTCATGGCAATGAGGGGAGCTACCACGGGAACAAGCAGTGCTGTCAGGTGCTAACATAGAGGAGGGAACAGCTTCTCCCTTTCCGTGCTGCAAGGGACTGCTAGCCTCTTGATTCTAGGCTCTGCACTGCTGTGTGCCCCTGCATGAGGATCACCATGGGCTCTCCCTCCCCCTAGGCCAGACTCAGCCAGAGCTGCATGCTTCCTGTCCTGCTCCCTTTGCCCACCTGCAGCTCGCTGAGGGGAAGGTGTTCCCTGACTGCAAACAGAGACTGGGAAGGCATGTGCCTTCCTGATACCAGCATCCCAATGACCCTGTGTTGCACAAATACCCCAGGCAGCTCCAGGGCCCAATACACAGAGCTGAGGCACGGAGCTCCAGCAGCATCCACCGCACGGAGCAGAGCCAGCTGGGGGCTGGCCATACATGGGTTGCTCTCTTGCACCACTGTGATAGAGCCATAGACTCTCCTGTTCAAAAGTCATTGGCTGAGAGGCAAAGGAGCTGCCTGTGAAAGGCCCCAGCTGTATGTGGGTGACAGCTCTTTCCTGTTTATCCCAGCTTCTCAGTCAGGCTGCCTCCAAGGCGGCTGGGACCAGGCTGCAGGCTCACCAACACTACGCCTGCTCCTCTGGCGGGCTGCCAAGCCTTGGCTTCATATCCAGGCTATGTGCTTTTGCTTAGTTACGCACTATCCAGCTAGCACGGGGCACCAACACAGGCAGATCTGTGGACAGTGGGAGGCTGCAAAGCTAAATCTGCCTGAGGAGGGACAAATAGGTCCTGAGAGTCTGCAAGGAGAGGAGAGGGCAGGGACCAGCGGTTCCAAGGTGCATCATACCTGCAGCAATCACTCAGCAGCATGGGCACCCTGAGCTGGCTCTCCTCTGCCTCTGCAATACCTGTGCATGAACCTGCTAGGCATCTAAATTTGCTTCCTTGTGTGGCAAATGTGATACAACAACTTTTAATTCCTGGTAGGCTTGTTTGTTTGTTTGTTTGTTTGTTTGTTTGTTTGGGGGTGGGGGAATAGAAGATGACATGGGATGATTAAGCAGAAACCCCATGCTTCTACAAGCCTGCCTTCCTTAGGACATTTGTGTAGAGCATGGATGTCCAACCTTGGGGCTGCACTGTGTGAAGAGGACTTGCCTTGAGCTATGTATAAAATAGGAAATATATTTAATGCATATTAGGCACTTTTTTTCACATTTTCCTATTGAAACATAAAAAGAATAACAAAACCATAAAAGGAGTGGGATATTTGACCTTGTTTTTGTGAAACTAATGCATCAATCTGCTTCGATGGCAGTGGTTGCCATTCTTACTGAGTTATCAAGGGGTTTGTCAGGTATTTCTGATGAAATTTTACTCTTACTGTATATCATCCTGGTCTTGGGCCAGACACTGAGCATCCTGATCAGTTGTAGGTGTCCCTGTTCATTGCAAGAAGTTGGATCAGATGGTCTTTAAAGTCCCTTCCAGCTCAAGTGTTTATGTTTGTGTCTTTGTAGTAGGTTCAGAACACCAGGAATCCTCCGTGTGGCCTCCCAGCCTCTCCAGAAGCCTGCCATGAAGAGCTCCAAGGGAGGCCACAAGAAGAAGTGAGGCACTGATCTGTGGAAGGGGCAGACCTGTTTGGATCCTGTGACTCTCTCCATGCTGTGAGTATTCCTCCTGGCTGTAACTGTAGCAGGGGGAGAGAAGTCTGAAATGGAATTAAGCTGGACCAGGCTTTGGGCAACTTGATCTAACCATAGCGTCCCTGTTCATTGCAGAGGAGTTGGACTGGATGACCTTTAAGAGTGCCTTCCAACTCAAACAATTCTGTGATCCTATGATTTTTTTTTTTATCTCTGTACACATTTAGTGTAGGTGTCCTGTTCTCAAACATGCAGGTGGGTGGGAGGGGGATGCTGAAGGGTTTTCAGTCACCAGCAGTGCAGCCAGACACTGGGCAGAGGTGTGAGCAAAGTCCTTCAAAGGTGCTCTGAAAACTCAGAGAGACTGTACCAAATCCACAAGTGTCCATGGGGTGGGAATGCGTACAGGGTAAGTGTAGGAAGGTTGGCTGTGGACACCCAGGACATTGGGATGATGTACCATAGCACAATTGACAGCGGAGAGGAGATAGCAGGACCACACTGTGAGCTCCTTGATGGAACTGGTAAATGATTTATAGGAGATCTTGAGCTCCTTACCCCGTGTTGGTGCTCCTGCACAGACCGAGGTTGCAAGTACTGCAATGCTGTCTGCCTCTGCAGCCAGCAATGCCCTTTCTTGATGGCATTTCCCTGTTTTTCAGCGTGAAACAGCAGCTTGCAGGAAGGCACTGAGGACAGTCTGCACTTCTGGGAGAGCAGCAGGCAATTGCATTTACCAAGCTACCAGCCAGAGGAGGGAGGAAGACGGCGGCTGTAGGTCTGTCTGTTGCATCCACCTCCCTGGGCCCCAGCAGATGTGGGTGGGCAGATGCAGCTGGGTCTGGGGTACCCTTGGTGATGTCACAGCTGCCCACCTGTGTAGGCATTGCTCCTCACGCAACCAGGGCAGAGGTGCATCATTCTTGCCTTCCTGTGGGGACAGGGGTGAGGGTGACTGGCCTTGCTGTGCTCAGATCTTCAAGGGGATGCAGGGGCCTTGGGTGCATGTGGAAAGTGGGGCACTAGTGGTATCAGGTGTACCAGGGCTGTGGGGGCTGGGGGTAAAGCTGCACTTCAGACTCTTTCATGCCTGCATTCTGCTCAGCCGTCCAAAGATCACAAGGGATGTCCTCGTCTGACCAGAATTAAATAAGAAGCATTTTCCCAAGATAGCTCTTAACCCCATCCTTACTGGGCTGCATTGCTTCTCTTGCCTGCTGACACATTCCTTTCTTGTTCAGTGTGAGGCTATGGCACATGGGGCATGTGTAGAGATAAGGGAACAGCACTGGTCTCATCTCCCATCTCCTCTAATACATTGGGAAGCACAGCCAGAGCAGGGCAGAAACACTTGAGCTTCATGTGCAGGGGAAGTGCTGGGTTCTCTGTGACAGGCACAGAACTCTCCTTGGAAAGATACCATGTACTGTAAGCAAAGTGTTCACCCCCCACTTCATGTTTTGCAGCAAGTGGCCCCACAGCAGGCTTCACCATGGTATCAAGAGAGCATGTGGGCCACGGAACGGCTCTGCTGTGCTGGAGGTACATGGGGCACCTGCTCTGTGCACTCACTGTCCTGGAGGTTGTCGGGACATTGGGACTGATGATCTACGCATTGCTGGTGGAAGCAGGGAACCTGGTCAACCTCCCCAGCAAACGCATTGGCTTTTACAACTTCTGCCTTTGGAACGAGACGGCCGGGAAGCTGCAATGCCTGGAAGTCAGCCATCTGCAGGCCATGGGCATCAGCTGGCTTGGAATAGCACTGGCCAGGGTTTGTGTCTATATCTGCTCAGTCATCAGTTTCTTCTACCCCCTTTTCCTTGCAAACGTGAGATGCACGGACAAGGTAAAGGGCTGGAGGGGATTGCTCATCATACTCATCACCAAAATGTTACTCCTATCTGGAGGTCTGGGTATATTTCTCCTCCAAACTTCACCGTGGATTCACCCCTCCGATTTCACTGGGGGTTTTCTGGCACTGGTTGGAATTCTGGCACTGATTCTGCTCCAGATTCTCACTGTCACTATGTACACCATCTGGGCCAAGCACATGAAGCCACATCAAAGCCCTTTCACTGAGGAGGCCTTGCCCATTAAAATCTGAAACTGAGATGCAGGATGATGTGATTTAGAACAGTAATCATGCTACAGCTTTAATCACTGGCAGGATCTTTATTCCAAGTGTTCACATCCAGTGTCCTGGTTTCAGCTAGGACAGTTATCTTCTTCACTGTATCTGCTACAATGCTGTGTTTTGGCTTTAGGATAAAAACAATTTCGATTACATACCAATGTCTCAATTGCTGCTGAGTAGTGCTGTGCAGAGCTGAAGACGTTTCAGTTTTTCAGCTTCTCTGCCAGGCCAAGCAAGGGGACTGAGGGCTAGGAAGCACAGAGCTAGGAAGGGTCAGAACCAGGAGAGCTGCCCTGAACTGATCAAAGGGATATCCCATACTATAAAATACTATGGAAAACCTCTAAAAACGTTTCACTTTCTCAACTATGGGTGCGTTGCTTAGCTGCACGAGTGGAAATCACGTGCTTATTTTGCAGTCAGAACCAGGGAAAGAAGCTTGCCAAAGAGGGTGTGGCATCAGAAGACAGACTGTCCTACCCCCCCTGAGCAAGTCTAGGCAAGTTGCCCAGCTGCAAAAGAGGCCTACGTGACCAACGTGACAGGGGACAGAGTGGCTACAACCTCAAATTAAACTGGAGGCCACACAGGTATAGAAGTACTTTGCATCTTGTGCTACACACTGCAGCGAGATACAAAGAAATATTTAACTGATAATTTGCTGTTGTTTCACCTAAATTTAGCCCAAGGGAACTTCAAAAGTAACTCAGTAACTGATACGTTCAGGTAGTGATATGTGACTGAAGCAGGGAGCTGGGCGGGGGACAGCTGCTGCTTGGGGACTGTCTAGGCATTGGCCATTGGGAAGCAAAGAATTGCACTGTACAGCCCTTGTTTTGTAAATATACATTACTATTGTGTTATTTTCCTTTTCTCTTTTGTCTTACTAAATAATTTTTTTCAGCCCATAAGTTCCACTTTTGAGTTTTCTTTTCCTAGATTCTCTTCCCCAGCTCCCTGAGAGCTGCTTTTGGGTTTTGAAATTGTAAGCCAAGTAAAAACAAGAAAAAAAAGTTTATTTAGTTCTTCTCCCCTGGAGCTAAGCAGGTACTTACAAAATAGTTTGTTTCTTCAAATCTTTATTCAAAGTAACATGGGTGCATGAGTTACCACTCTTGCCCACATCACATGAACCACCTTGCTGGTATCGATCTTCCTTGGGATGTTCTTACTGCGAGCTGAACCTTGACTTTTCTAGCAGCTGGCATCAAAGGAATCCCACTTACAGGCGGGCTGCTGGTCCACAGCTTAGCTTACAGGCAGTTCATGCCCATAGCAAGTATGCACTCCCTCCGTTACTGCCCTGTGTTCGGTCCCATCCAACACAAGCTTGGCGCTCATGATGACCTCAGACTCAACCCAGGCTCCCATTAGCGGCCAGCATACTTCACTATCCTTGAGTTTACACAGTAACATTTCTCCACTCCCTCTGTTGCTGTTTGTGAGGGTTTGTAGCGTCACAGTGACAAGATGTGAGGTTAAGGGAGACCAGCAGGACACTGCCTGACACGTGACCCAGGAATGCCCTCTCTGAGGGCATCCAATTTTCCTTCTTGATGGGCTGTGCTCTCTTAATCCCGTCCTTGCCTGCACAGCTGTGTAGAGGCAATGCTAAGTGAAGAAGATCTCCCTGACATATTTCAGAGCATCATCATCAGAGTCATCAAGGCCAGTCCTCTCTGCATCCGTGCTAGCACCAGAAGAAGATGGGGGGCCCGGGCTGTGGTGGCTGCCTTCCTTCACGCTGGCTGTGCCTTCGGGAGCCTGGCTCGGTGCTGCCTGCAGCTCCTGTTCCACCTGCTGATGAAGGTCCTGCTCCTCTTGGCTCCCGCTGCAGGCCTCCTCCTCAGCTCCCTTACGCTGCAAGCTCTAACACAAGGACCATCAGCCGCCCCCCCACGCAGGGCCACGCCAAAAGGCTGCCCCTGCGGGCCTCAGCCACGGACAGGCCGCTGCGCTCAGGATGAAAGGAAGCCGCGGGCTCACCTCGGCCAGCACCCCCAGCGCCACGTCCACCAGCTCCGCCTCGTTCATGCAGTACACGGTCGCCGCCCTGGGCACCGCAAGGGGACGGTTTATAGCGGGAAGCGCTCCGGCCCCACCCACCCTCTCCTCACCCGGCGGCTCTACCTGGGCTCCGCCGCCGCTTTCTGTCGCCGCCGCCGCCCGACCCGGCCCGGTCCCCCCGCCCGCCGCTCGCCTTCCCCCGCCGCCCCCATCCAGGCGGGCAACAGCCGCCGTCGCCGCGCCGCCGCCATCTTGTGTGCAGCCGCCATCTTGCGCGCCGCGGCACGGCTCGAGGCTGTCCCCTCCCGGCCCGCCTCACGCTACGCACCACCAACGTGCTGGAGGCTTTTTTTTTTCCTGGATACCGTTGCCGTACGGTAATACCTCATTCCTGCCCTGGCCATCCCAAAGCTGGGTAGGAAGCCTCGAGCCAGTCCTTCCACTGAGTTTGCTGCCTTTAGAAAAGGCTGCTGTCACTACTGCCTGGTCTAGGAGCTGGCTGCAGTCCCATCTCCTCCGTTCCTCAGCAAAACAAGAGGCTTTTATTTCCAGCCACCTCCACTCAAATGTCACTCACTCATCTATTCCAGTGCACAAAGACACTCTGACTTCAGAAACAGAGATTAGAAGAGCATTCTTTTCTTTAAAAAACTTAAAAAAAAAAAAAAAAAAAAAAAAAATCACACTGACATCTTATTAACCCAGAAGCTACGCCCTGCTACCCAGCTAATTTCTGCAGATCAGCACATCCCCCATTTGGCTGATAGACCAGCTATTTATCAACTCTCCAGAAGCATCAACTGACCGAATCCACCCAGCCCTTCCATTCAAGCACTTGTTCTCCCTGACTCAACTGATACTTAGTATTTTAGGAGCTAGCTCTGTTAATAGAGCATTATGAAGGACCAGGCAGGTTCTCGTCTTCTTATCCACCATGAAATACATCAGGCATTATGTAGTTTCTGATCTCTAATGCAAGCATTTCAGAAGGTCTGACTCAGGATCCCTTCTGCAATTGCCAAAGAACACAATACATCCAAGCAACGCAGCTATTTTTGCTCCTCAATGACTGGTACTGGTAGTCCCTACTGAGAGACTGTCAGTGCAGGAAGCACCTGGTGAAAACAAAATAGTCTTTTCTCCACATAGGAGCCTGTTCTTGGCACATTTCTGCCTCAGCCATTCTCCACACTTTGCAGCAATAGACAAACAGAGCACAGGAATCAAATGCAAGGGAGTATCTTCTTTTTATGAAAAACAACAACACAAAACGAAAAAATATTAAACCCAAATAATACTCTGGTTCTGCACTGGTTTTTCCAGTTTGAGCCATCCATTTCACCACACAGTGCTGCATCACACATGCCTTCTCCAGTTTCTCTGTCTACATAGCCCCTGACATGATTCCAGCAGCCTCCCAACCATGTGCTACATTGAGACCCCCCCTAGAAGAGGGAGTCCAGCTGCCATAAGAGGTCAGTGAAGCTCTATTTTCACTGCTGCCACTGAAGGAGACCCATATCAGCATTCTGTTGCACAGTGGTTTGGCATGTGTATTTAACAACTGCCAAGAGGCAAAAGCTAAAATGAAAAGAGTGATTGTGGCATGCCTTCTTTCCCATGCAGTTTGTTCCTGTGGAGTTAACACTTTTTTGTTTGTTCGCTTTTTTCCCTCCCAATTCTGCTGCTCTCTTCCTTCAACACAGCTCCAATTAAGACTTTTGAGCCAGTAGGGTTGTTAACTTAATCTTCCCATCCATAGAGGCAGTGAGGCAAGTCCCACAGTCCATGGCTGTGCTCCAGTCCACTGTGACAACAGGAGCTCGGTGTCCTCCCAAGGAAAGGCAGCTCTCCAGGACCTTGTCCTCACCATTTAACTACAAGAAAAATATAAGAATTTAATGAGGCAAGCTGCTCCAGCATGGGCAGTGTATCCACAGAAGAACCCAAAGCCTACTACATACTCCATATCCCTATCAGCATACTTTTTCCTGTTTAATTGTGTATACTTATATTTACGTAGCACACGAGGAAATGAGTTTTCCATCTCAAGACAGAAGCACATGATTTTAAACAGCTCAGCTTCTGACATCAGCTAAGCTATAGTAGCTGAACAAGACAGGCTAAGAGCAGAGTTGTGAGGAACAGGCAAGTTTAAGCTGTAGCTCATGTTCATGAAGGTGCTCTGAATGTCCCAGCTGCTAAGTAAGAATTCTATTTAAACTGACACGTAATGGCTTATTCTGGTGTGCACTGACTCAAAAGAAGGTAGGCTGTGATCAGTTTGTGTTGAAACCATTCAGGCTTGTTCTTACTTCAGTGCTGCGCACACATGACGAGGAAATAATCAGTCTGGGATGAGCATAGCAAGCACACGATGCAGATTACAGATGAGCAGTTGGAACAGTCATAGTCAATAAATTAAAAAAAAAAAAACAAAAACTTTTGTCTTGGGCACTTAGCACCAAAGAATATCATTCCTGGAGTTCACACACTTGCTTGAACAGCACACAGTGCCAAAATGCATGCAGTACAGACCACACATCAAACTGAACAGCAAGTTTCACAAAGCAGAGGTAGGCAAGTTGCAGCCTTGTTACAAGTGCTTGGATGCAAAAGGGAGTTTCTCATCATTTTGGGGACTTACCTTAAAAATGACTCCCCCAGTTGAAGAACATGTCAGCATATAGTTTCCCTCAGAGTCAAAGGCAAAAAGTCTTCCTCGTGGGAATTGGACTTGTTTGTATCCACTGTATCCAGACAGCACAAAGGGACCTGTAGCTTCACTGGGAAGAGCATACTCTGAGATCTTCAAGCCACTTTTGTGGATGTTCCACTGAATAAACTGGAATAGAAAAAAATAAATTATAAAAGCCCATAGTTAAATTGACTGGAATACAGAGGGGCCATTCACCATTTTTAAGAGAGGGGGATATCTCACACAAACAGAAGACAGCATTTTCACAGCTCTAAGTGGCTATATTTACAAAACATGGGATGCAAAGGCAGCAAGCGTGCCTACTACCCAGGCACACATATGCATTATATTTCATAAGCACTATTGCATATGAATACTTCCATAGTACAGGCAGGATCCTGTTGGGATTTCACTCAACTTTCACCAGTCAAGGACCCATGTCACCATAAAACATCTTTGGCCTGAGCCAAATCTCTATTGCTAGAGACTTTGGAACTACAGAAATTGAAGCATTTGTTATAAGCAATTGAGAGCTACTTGCAAGGAAGTTCATGCTAAGTTAACAAGGATCTGCTCCCCAGGACGTCTCAGACCTTAAATATGGTGATTTCAAGAGCACAGAAAGGTCATCTTTGCCTGGATTCCCTAGGAAGGGAATGTTTCACCAAGAGCAGGGTTTGCATGCAAAGTCCAAAGCATCTTCAGCTGCTAATGCACTTTCTGGCCGCCATCTCTACAGATAATAAATGAAACTGGGTGGTGCTCTGCACGTATGAATGTGGTTACTAACAGCCTGCAGATTCACATGGTATGGATAACAAAAACACCTAAAAGAGTGGACTCACAAAGGGTTCTTTACACCAGCTGACCAATGCAAGTCACCTAGAGCTCACCTTGCCATCCTCGCCTATGCTGTAGACAGTGTTCTCATCATAGCTGAACTCAACGGAGTAGACTTCCCCATCATGTGCCTTCCAGCTCATGGCACACTCATGCTGCTGCATATCTGAGGGAAGAATCAGTACTGAAACATTCCCAGTACTCACACAGAGCTGGGGTGAGGAGAGACCATTTACATTAATAAGGACACTATCCCAGCCCGCTACTCCAGACAGTGGGAGCACAATCCAGCCTGAGAGCATCCTATCTTTATTCTCCAGTGTGTAGCTTTCAATTCCACTGACTACAGTCACCGTCTATAACTGGCCACTGCCTCCTCCAGCTTTAGTGCTCAGTGTCAACTGCACTCACTCTCTACCAAAAGACACTGCCACCTTTATTCTCCTGCCCTTGCAAGCCTATTCACTCCCACAGCTGCTGCTACCTCTGTCCTCACACCTACCTTCACAGCTCAGCCACTGTGGCAAAAACAGATCCTTTCTCACAAAGAAGGAAGGCTCCAGCTGCCTTTATCACAAGGATAAACTAAAGAGGCCAGAATCTGAGAAACTGAAATTGTCCAATGAAGAAAGACCTGCATGAAGTCTTTGCCTTCAATCAGTAATCCTTTCAGGGCAGCCTCTGGCACATCCAACATGACATGACCCAAATGCAAGTTAGCTTTGCTCCCCCTCAGCAGGAAGGAAACAAATCCAGCACTATTAGGGCTTTCACACAATGTCCTCAAGGGAAAGTTTGTCAATTTACCCCTGAGAGTGGTTGTGGAGGACAGAAAACAACTTCCAGCTTAACACTTGGTCACAATGCACTGTTGTCTCCCTCCTGAAAAGAGAAGGATGCTGGAGCTTCGCAGCCAGCAAGTGACACCAAAAGACCACCTCACCACTCAGTTCCAACATACCAAAGAGACGAACAATCCCATCCGCAGCCCCTGTGACCAGCAGGTTGCCATTGTGGTTGAAGGCTGTGCAGTTAATAGCGATAGGCTCAGGCTCCAGGGAGAACTGCAACTAGAAGGGAAAGTCTATATGAATGCCTAAAAGCCTCTAATGGATCTGAAATGCTAAGCAGCTATACTCCAGGGGAGGGAAGGAAGATGCTATCAAATAACAAGAGCTCCCACAGTTTGAACTCCTATACCTTTCACAACCACAGACTTTAGGGTTGGCAGCTGCATTTAACTGTGATGTCTGATCAACAGTTTACCTCAGCCAAGATGCAGCTATCTTGAAAACGTCCTTAAAGCTGCAAAACCAGCTTCTGGCAGACACTAGTGCAAGTGTGTTTCATTCTCCTATGCATCAGGGAAAGCACAGGTCAAAAGTGAGGGATGGGACCAGGATTCACTGCCAGAATCTGATCCAACAGAGATGATGTAAGACTAATTCTCAGAAAGCAGTTCATAGCTTTAAAAACAAACAAACAACACAGGTTGAGAGGCACTTGAATACATGGCTAGAAGAGTTCTGAAGATAGCGACCAGCTGCCATACAACTGAAACTTGTCTACAGCAGTCCTGGAGCATGCTAGATGGAGATGAACAGCTAAAGCTCACCATGCTCACACCACAGTGAAAGTCAGAGTAATTTAGAAAGAAAGCCTACACATTAGAACAGGAGATATTCATTCTCAGCAAGCAGACCTAGAAAGGAAAGGAACCCAGCAAGTACCTGCTGCTTCATTGTT